AAGCATGCTATGTGCACATGCCTCACTAAAACCGTTATAGAACTGTTATGTAAATTTATGCGCTTACTCCCCCCCCTTCTCATTTAGCCCTTTGCTCTGATGATGTTAACAGGTTGTTAACGAAAGCTCAGCAATTAATAAAAAAAGCCTTTTACCTTACATCCCAGAGTGCTTTATTTTTATCTGTTTGACTTTAAATATGCACATATGCACAAAATAAGATGAACTCCATTTTATTATCCTAATCCTATGTGTGATTTCTTAAAAAATTTCTAGGGTTTAGTTTAACATAAGTATATACAAAACTACAGGTTTTATATACGAAGTATACATTTTATATTTCAAACCTGGAATAAAATCTCTCTTATTTCTTCTTTAGTATTGATTTTAAATTTCAAAATACTTTGTGTTGTTGTCGTTATGGATATGATTTTTAGGAGAACATGAAGATATATTATATGAGGGCAATTCAGAAATAAACCTCCTTTTGGTTATCAGTGACAGACACTCACACACTATGACACCGAAAGTGATGCCATAGAAAATCCCGCCAAATGTGAAGATGCCCAAGGAGTACTGCTAGTGAAGTTCATGGAGTTTGATTCAACTATCAATTCAGAAGTCTACTGTGAAATGTTATGAAAACTCAGACGAGCCATCCATAACAAGCACCAGGATATGTTGATTTCTGGTGTAGTGTTGGTTCATGATAATTATCGTCGGCACATCACTAGACACACCCAAGAACTTTTGAAGCAGTTCTGTTGGGATGTTTTTGATTACACCCCCATAGCCCAGATTTGGCACCGAGCGACTACTACTAAGGAATTTCAAACATTGTAAGATGCTATGACAAGTGCCTCAATTTGAATGGTGATTATGTCAAAAAGTAATGTAATGTTGTAGTTTTCTAATGTGTATAATAAAAGTTCTATATCTGTGAGTGTCTGTCATTGATAACCAAATGGTGGTTTATTTCTGAACTATCCTCATAAATGTGTTGTTGGCTTCAAGCCCAACAAATCACACAACCAACAATCTCAAGAATACTAACTCTAAGCAGGCATCTATTATATCCATTATTCTACAAAGCATAATGCACATGTTCCTATTAACATGCTTCTATGTTAATTTCTATGCACAAGTTATTAAAGATTCCTGCACCAAAAAGCATTTTAAAATATCTTAGAGAGGTTTGGATATTTGACAATCTATAAACAATACCATTAAAATTCTGTTTATTAATAGTTGAAATGGAAAAGAAATATTTTTAGGAAATCTTTATATCCTGAGTTATTGCCTAACGCAACATAGAAAAAAGGTAGTAATTTTATGAAGTTGTGTAACTTCTTGCATTAAATTGCTTAAAGCACATCCTCAATTAACTTTATTTATTTATTTCTAGTTGTATTGCTTGATACAACCATTGCAATTGGAGAGCTGGGATGGAAAACCTATCCTCTAAATGGGGTAAGTCAATCATCATAGGTTTTGATGAGCATTTTGGAATATATCTGATATGCATTGAAATATACATTGTACAGCATATGTTTAAGTCAACTGAAAACTGCATTTTAGTAAACATTTCTTAAAATAGAACTGCACCAGTAGAAGCATCTACTGTATATACAAAGTGGCACAATTAATTAATCACCTTTCATGGTTTATTTATGAATAGTTATGGACTTATCCACAGTAAGTCAACTTTTGTATATGAATATCATTTGAAAATACCTTTTGATAATTGTGGAAATAGTTTTATGTTTAAAAATAGTATGAATGAAATTCAGTGAAACACTTCTGATCATATTTGTACATCAGAAAATGTATCTGATGTTCAAAATAGAAATATTTTCCATAATACTGTTTTAGAAGCATTAATCCTAGTTCTATCAGCCCATTGGAGAATAGGCTCTTATATTTTTCTATGGAATTTCTAAACCAGTAAATACAAGCTATTCCACAGCAATGAAAGGCCTAGCCTCCTATGTAGTACTCAGCTGGTGGAATCGAGCCAAAATGTTATGTAAATTTATAATAATGAATATGATAATTGTTGGAAGTATGTTGTAAAGCTCTCATGTGGATAAGATGCTTGTTGTATTTCTTATAAGGTACTGCATTCCTATGTCTACAATACAGTATATCAGGAGGAGATGTGGGAGAAAACAATAGAATGCCATGCTGAATGACATATAATTAATAGTATAGAACAGGGCTTTTCAACCTTTTGACCCATTGTACCACTTTTAGGATATGGCAATATCCGAGTACCTAGCCTAGCAAGGTGTCAAAAACTTGATGACCAAAAAAAAAAAGGAAAAAAGTGATGAAGTACAGGTAGTCCTTGACTTACAACAGTTTGCTTAGTGACTATTTGAAGTTACAATGGCACTGAAAAAAGTGGCCCCTAAGCCACAGCCGAACAAGACACCTGCCTGCCCACCCGGCAGTGCTCTTCCTCCTGTCCGAGGTTTTCATTGTTGTGAGGATTGACAGCAGGGGTGGGGTGGGGGTATTTGGTTTTTATTCCCCCTGTCTGCTGGGTGGTTGCAGCAGGTATTGGTCACTTCACATGACCCTGGGACACTGTGACTGTCATAAATATGAATCAGTTGCCAAGCATCTGAATGTAAATCATAAGACCCTGGAGATGCTGCAACAGTCCAGCTGATCGGTGCTTCTTCTGGGCTCAGCAGAAGCGCCAGGATCAGCACTGAGCTCCAGCTGGAGCCTGGCGCTGATCCTGATGCTTCCACTAAGCCCTGACAGTCCAGAAGAAGTGCTGATCCTGGCGCTTCCACTGAGCCCTGACAGCTCTGCAGCTCCAGCCATCTCTCGCTCAGGCTTGTGTGGTGCTGCCACCGGTTCAGCTCATTCCCCTCCCCCACTACCACTTTTCTGGGATGGTCGCATACCACCTGCCAGGTGCCAATGTACCACAGGTGGTACCCATACCACTGGTTGAAAAGCCCTGGTATAGAATGTTACCAGTCTGTTATCAAGACAAATATAAAGATTGTTGCCTTACTGCAACATTCACATATTTTTCCTAAGCAATGGAATGTTCCCTTCATTATCAGATATCTGACATTATTCAAAGCAGCATTTGTTATCTTCTGACATTACCAGGGGAGATGAGAGGGAGAAAGGGGGAGAGAGAGGGGAAAATTTTACAAATTTAAGGTTTATAATACAGCTTCTATCAGGTCCAAACTTGTTCCCTTTTCATAATGGGAACCTATAATAGGGAATCAATCACTAACTCATTTCACATGATCTTAGATGCCTTGTTTTTCCATTTCAGTAATTCCAGACTGTAATAATTATCACACTGCTAATTTGAGTTAAATATGAACCTAAGAAAGATATTTGAAGCAGACTGAATGGATGAAAGGCAACAGGTTTTGAAAACAAGTCAAAATCCATTACGTGTGTTCTAAATACAGGTTTCTGAAGTCAGTTGATTGCTTGTCTTGGATAATAAGATAAAGATGAGAATCATTTTGACTTCACCACTCAGTTTCTTGTAACTTAAGAGATACTAAACACTTCTCCCCCCCCCCTTTTTCTATTGTTTAAAGTCTCTGGTTTTTAAGTAGCTCTAGTCACGTTTTAGGAAGATGGGCAAGGTATATAAATCTAATAAATAAATAAGATCATTTTAGCCGTTCTGTTGGCCAGTTCACTTAAGAGCGCATTGAATGAATTCAACTATTAATTAGGGACCCATATATTTAAACACTTAATCCATTCTATTGATTAGTTTCCAAGAACACTTTAATTTAAAATACCTTAAGATACAATTTATTTTTATATGCTGCATCTTCAGTGCTGTGTACTCCTTGTGTTTGAGATGATACACAAACATGTACATATGTATATATACACACACAAAACATAGGACAAATTTCTATTTGTTATAATACCAACTGATATTATATAACTTCTATTTAATTATGCAGAGTTTGTGAAGGAGACTTTCCTGAAATTGAATTAAAAAAACTACATTACACTAAACAAATCTAGAAGTATTACTGGAAAACTTTGTTCTAGAAAGATAAAGGATATTTCCTCAATACTGTAATATATATATTAAATACCTTCAGAGGCTTAATCAATATAACATTTATTAAATTTGGTCTGTTTTTTTAGTTTATGGATTACATTTTTCAGGATTTACAATCCTTTTATATCATTTTGGTTAGCATTTATATTTCCTGTACTGTATATTTTCTGTAGGAAATGGACATTTCTTTTTGTTTAATTCAGAATTTTATTTGCATTGAAAATAACGAGAAAAAATTGAATGAACAAGATATAATAATAAATAAAATAAATAAATAGCTTACATTTAAATTATATTCATACACTGAATTCCTGTTAAGCTTAATAGGACAATGGCAGTTACAGCATTAAACGTTTTAATATATTATTACAGCAAAACTAGCACATCACAGAATGTGCGGTCATTCACAGATATCAGAGTTTTGAGTTACTGTAGCATGCTGATATTGTCACTATCCTTTCTAAATTCTGGTGCAGTAGTATGCTTATACGCATGCATGAATTGATTTATGTATCACAGATTGTGCCAAAACATAGTCAAAATTCTTTAAACCAATAATGGAATGAATATACTCTAGGAAACCAGCTGTGTGGTCCATTTATGCTCTCTTTAGCTGTAACAATGATGGATTTTTTTAAAAAAAAAAAAGCTTTTATGTGCTTTAGACTTTTTCCATTATTCTAAATAATATGACAAGCATAACTCCAACACTGAATATTGATGCTTACCATTTACAATTAAATAATAATAATTTATGCCCAGAAATCTAGACAACATTTAAAAGAATAAAAACCATCAAACTTAATAAAACTACATTCAAATATGTGAATATATACACAGAGCACTCTGCAACAAAATTTTAGAAAATCTGATGGATACTGTTGTATCAATCAAAATTTTTTATTGATGTTTCATCACTCTAAGACATCTTATAAGAAGGAATTTGGAAAGGATTCTATAAGAAATTGTCAAATATTTTCATGTGGAATTTTAGACTGTTGGTGACTTCTGCAAAAGCTCTAGTCTAGGCCCATTGCATTATCTTCCTCAGACATCTATTGAACCTAGAAAATTCCTGAATGCTTAAATAATATGTAATTGATATGTCTGATGATTCTGCTGGACATTTGCAGATGTCCTCTTTCAAATTCCAACCAGTTCCTGGTTTACTGCAGGTATAATGGTGAAATAAGATAGCTGAATGTGATGGCACAAGTCAAACAGATTATATCAACAAAGAAGAAGCTGTAATTATGGCAACTGTCTTTCTTAGGGAGCTCATTGCAAATAGAATTATTGCTTCATTTATCAAAATATATCAAAGAATTCATCAAGAATGTCTTTTAACACTTTATTATTTACTTTTTAGAGAAACAATGACATTTTGAATATATCAGAAGTTAAACATAACTGTTCTATAATTTCCTATATTATTGATAATGATAGCAATAGTCTTTTAGGCTTATATACTGTCCCATAACATTTTACAGCATTCTCTGGATGGTGTACAAGGTAGAAGCATTATATTGCATATTTATTCGCAACAGTCTGAGTTCTCCTTTTACTGATCTCAGAAGAATGGAAGGCTGAGTCAATGATGTCCATCAGAATCAAACTTCATGCTATGGGCAGAATTTGTTTGCAATATTATACTTTAATCACTGCATCTTGTATTAATAAAATACATTAATACAAAGGCTTCTTGTATTAATCATGTACTCATTTTTTGTAGATATTAATTGTAGATACAGTGGTTAGCCTTTTATCAGGTTTTTCAGTTAATTGGAAAAAGAGTCATACATTTTGGTGGAAATTGTATTAATGCTGGTTGAGGAATTCTGGCAATTGAAGTCCATACATTTTAACGTTGCCAAGGTTGAGAAACACTGCTCTAGTAAAAGAGACCATTAGTGGATGGGACCTAGAACATGTCTTTCCTTCTGAATTTAACGACTAGTAGGCACTACTGAGGAGAAACAGTCCCATTAGTAACCCAGCCTGAAGGCATGAAGGGCTTTAAAGATAACCACTAGCACCTTGTATTGCACCCAGAAACACACTGGTAACCAATGCAACTCATAGAGCAGGGATGTCACATGTGCCAAATAACTGGCACCATAATTGCTCACACTGCTGCATTTTGCACCAGTCAAAATATCTGAATACTCTTGGGCACCACATGTAAGGCTCTTTGTAGTAATAGGGAAGTGACTAAGGCATGATTAATTGGAGTCCAGGAACAGGTGTAAGTTATGCAGAATGTAAAGCTTTCAAAGATCCTCTCAGCCATGGTTACCACTTTCTTTTTGACCAGGAGCCATGAGTTCAGGAGGACTCCTAGATTGTGCACAAGATCAGTCTGTAGCAGTACAATCCCATTCAAAACATGAGATGGAAATAT